GTGTGTGTATATATATATATATATATATGATTTAGGATCAATTTACAACTTTTACACAAATCAATTACATAAATGTTGACCATTTATCTCTGCACTATGAATAGTTAGATTTATCACAACTTTTTAGATGAAAAAGACAATTATCTTTAAAAAGTGGATAAATCTCAATCATTCATAGTGGAGAGTTGAATGATTAGGATTTTGTTTAAGTAATGTGTGTAAGAAGTGTATATAAATGTACAAAATTAGGATCAACTTACATACAACTCTTACACACATCACTTAACACAAAATCTTGACCATTCATCTCTTCATTATAAATGGTTTTTATCCTATTTTTTAAAGTGAATTGTCTTTTCATCCAAAAAGTAGTGACAAATCTCAACCATTCATAGTGAAAAATAAATTATTATGATTTTGTGTAAGAGAATCCTATCTCTCTCTATAAATCTTACACAAAATCCTAACCATTCATTTTCTATTATTAATGGTTGAGATTTATCATGACTTTTTCAATAAAAAGACAATTAATTTTAAAAAATAAGATAGAAGTGAATAAATCTCAGCAATACATATTGGAGAGACAAATGGTTAGGATTTTGTGTTAGAGTTATGTGTAAGACTCGTGTGTAAGTTATCCCAACTCATGTGTATATATATTATATTACCTAGAGATGGACAACTTGAGTGATAAACAAAATACCTGAATGAGAGCATTTTACGAACTCCAGGAGGACGTGGCATATCCATAAACAATGAATTTGTGAAGAATGCAATTCTCCTACGTGCCTCAAGATTTGTTGGTACATCAATGGCAGATTCTTTGGTTGTCAGAAGGAGATGGAGGCGCCTTATCTAAAAGAACAAAAAGCCAAAATCCAATCTGAATTTGCTGAAGAAAGTAAAGAGAGCTTCGTTTAACTTTCATTTAATTACACACCTGTTCTTCCCAATGTGCTGTAACAACAGGAGGGAACAAAATAGCAGGCTTTGCATCAGTACCAGCAAAAAGTTGACTTCCAGATTCCTTGTTGCTATGTCCAAGTTCTACCAATTCACTATATAACAGTGCATAAGTCACAAAACAAAAACAAGATTATCACAAACTAGTCTAGTACCATTTACCCTACATAGAATAAAAAATGTTTGCTTACCAAATTTCATTCACCATCATGTCACGGGTAACAACCTCCAGCATATCTTGTAACAACAACACCACAGCATTCTGTTTGGATGGATCACTATCTTTCTGCAACAATAGGAAAAAAGCACTAAACATCTATGTAGAAGAGAAAATGACATATATGATCATTGTTCTCTTTTTATGACCTACCAAAATAACCACAAGCTCAACAAATTTCTGGATGAGAATAGGCAAAGAAGTCATTCTGAAGTTTGCAAGAAACATATTCTTTGAAATGTTACTCTCAACTTCTTTGATGATGATGCCAATTATCCTGTAAGATAAAACTAGTCAGAATTAAATATTTTCAATCTCTGAAACTAAATTATGCTGCTCCAACAAGATATAATGGTTCCACTCAGTAATTGAAAAAGAAATATTCTTTTTAACTCAGAAAGTGATACTGCATAACAAGCCCACATTTCTTCAACCTGAGGACCAATAAAATTACAAATAACACTCAATAGAAGTAAACCAGCAACTAAAGGACATAATGTGGTCCAAGAACTAGGAAAAAAAGGTGACAAAGTCTGACATAGACAATAATTTTAGCACTGCAGAAAAAGGATAAATCTTGCATGGGTGAGGGTTTACTGTGACTAGTCCTTCCAGCCAGAGTTTCAAACTAAGCATCATGGAAGAAAAAGAGAGTGTAGTGGTTTGGAAATAGGAGTAAGTGTTGAGGGAAAGGAGATGCTAGTAGAGAAGGAATGAAAATTTAAGTTCTACCTATGCTCAAAGGGTCCAAGAAACACACTACTGATTTGATGGACTAAAAAAGCCCAAATGTGGAAGTCTATTAAATAATCAGAGAAATTTTTAAAAATAATGGAAAACTAAGTGCAAATAACAACCTTTTCTCATTTTCTCCAACCACTAAAGTATTTAGGATAAATTTGAAAGATTCATAGCATTCGATGACAGCACATTTCATGTATTCATCAGCACATATACGCTTCCAAAGGTCAGAGTCCTTGGATCGAAATTGAGCTGCCATATCCAAAGCTATTGGGATCTGCTAATGAAGAAAAATAGTTAACCAAAAATAAAAGAACGAATAGAGCAAGTACAAAGTTTTGAGGACTCTACAGACCTTGCTTGCGAGCAAAAATGGTGGCCACTGAATTAGGTTCAAGCTAGGATCTGATGTGTAAGGAACTAGTAACAGATCCATCTCCCTGATTTACAGTAACACAAGTTTAGTTTAAACTGCATGTAGCCTAAGATATATACACAAGATATAACAATTTTAGTCAGGGCCCTTTCCTGTCACTGATCAGATCTTCTTCGCGGAAAGTAGAAATTATTTCATTCCATAACTGTGCAAATTTTGCAGCTTCACTTCTCCTGCTTGCTGTAACCTGTGCAGATATAAGGTAATGATCATAAAAGTGGGTATCTGACCATTGCCATCTTGTGCTGTCATATAAGAATAGGATGGAAATTAAAGAAACATGAGTTTAACCTCAGCAAATCGCTTTGATAAAGAGAATCCCCTCTTTTTAGATGTATCAGAAGGCACCAAATATGTGTTAAATGCACCAGGTAAGGACTGAAACCTTGACCTTAGCATGCCAAGAGTTCGTATCTGAAAGAAAGAAGCAGTGTGAGGATCTAACACCAATAGAGTTTGTCACAATTTTGGGTATATCAACAACCCAAGTTTTGATGGGAAATCAGTTACAAAATTTCCAAATTCCCCATAAACTTAATTGACCTCCTCTACTACCATGAAAGAAGTACCAAGTTTATAAATATAGGAGAAAATGATGAATGGATAACAATGTCTACTAGTTTGTGAAAAGATCCTAATTGAGCATCTCATGTAAAATGAAGTGGCAGCATATAATGTTCTTGGAGAAAAAAATTGCATAGCCTTGCAAGATTTATCATCCTTGGTTTCCTTAACATATATAAATTGGCCCAAAAAAAAAAAAGGATTTTACTTTGAAAGTTGTAAAAAGCCACCTCCCTGTCTTGCAAATTCCTTCACAACAAGAAAATAATTTCATATTGGAGACCAAAAAAATGGCCTTGATAGGATGGGAATTGCATAATCCAAAAGCCAGATCAAGAACCTTTGTTCAACATCCAGCTCCAATGTTTACCCAATAACTGGTGCAAGGTACCTAAATCATCTTGCAAAGGCCTTTCTAAGACTAAATAACCAAGAATGTGCATTTAAAAGACAAAAGGAGAACCAGAAAACTCATCTCCAACGTCTTATGGATAGTGCACAAGTAGAACAAGAAAGAAGATAATAAAAGAAGAAAACTCTTTAATAACTAAAAAGTGATTCAAAAGGGTTAAAATTGCCTGCAAGGTAAAAGGAATACCTCTCCTAGACGATCAAAGGCACCTATAAAACCGCCATAGAGAGTAGAGAAAACAGCATACCAAATTTGAGTGTCCATGAAATACACCTGACATAGATTTGAAACAATAATACAGAACAAGATGAAAAATGAAAATGTTCATCAAGGAGTTGGGAAAAATAATGGATTCTGTCTAAGATATCATTGATATATAAGACCAACCAAAATTATTGGTGCCCAAAGCGACACAACAGCTCCATAGTTGTGCTCAGCTGTATTAAAAAGATAATCAAGAAATCAATCCAAAAGTTAAACAGGATAGCATGAAAAGAAAAGTAGAAAAAAAGAAGGAAAAGCTAGCAAATACCATTTGGGAAAAATTCATGCCATGCATATGTAACATGACGAATGTTCATTATATCTTTTGTTGGCTTAACCAAGGGTTTTATCTGTTGAAAAGATAAAAATAATGATTAAAAGAGAAACAAACTACCCACTGTCTAAATACCAAGGCCAAAAAAACTAATATTAAGCTTACCTGGAAAAAATAGCTGAATGCAAACTTGGCACACAGAAGTAGCACCCAAAAAAGAGTATACCTAAAAGCGGAAAACATATTGAAATGGACAAGAAATTTGCAACTGACTAAATGGAAGTCCATATCAATACACTACTGTATTTCAGATTAGGTGTCTGATCAACAAACTCACTTAAAAAGCGCAAACTGACTTTCATGCATACCCCTTCCTATGTAAATTCTGGGCTGCAGACAAGTAAATAAAAGTCATTGAAGAGACTTGAAGATAACAATAATCTGTAGGCCCCAATAATTGTATGCCATAGCAACTAAAAAAATGAAAGGAAGAAGCTCTAAATGATAGTGAAAATTGAGAAATTTTAATAACAAAAATGTGTTATTCTGAATCTCAAATTATTAGACAAACCCCTATACATTAGATTAACTCCTACATATTTTAAGAATTAATCAAGTGGAGCTCCATTTTATGCACTTATGGCACATTTTAGTCAAAACTAAAAGGTTTGATTTACAGAGTTCTTAGCGTTTGATCTCTTTTCTCCTAATTCACTCAGTTTTATTTAATATAACCTACTTTTATTTTAAGTCTGTAAGTTCTGAAACTCAAAATCTTCTTGTTTTCAGATGTAAAATTTTTCTATCATGAATGAAATGAAAGTTCCATTTCTGATAAATACAATAGCACTCCGAAAATTCAGATAAAATGGATAAGAGTTCTTCAAGAAGTTACCATACAGGTAATGAATTCATATTATTTTCAGGATAAGCTCACACTAGCAGTAAGGACACAAAGCTGGGACAAATTGCAACAATGAGAATAACTTTTGCTATAAGGGAATTTATATGCTTCCTTTTCTTTTCTTCTTTTTTGAGAAAGTTTATATGCTTCATTTTAGTTCTGAAAAGAAATTGCCACAATTTTGTAAACAGCACTGAACAATTTTCGTCTGCCCAGAGCACTAAAAGTTCAACAATTGAAGTCAATCATAACGATAAACAGGACTTGATCAAACTTAAAAGCAACATCAGCTTCATTCCCTAACATTTCAAACAGTTGAACTGGCCCATATTATAATGACTAGCATAACATCAAGCAACACCTTCAGTGTTGTTGCAAATGCTAGTTCTAATCTCTGTAACCTTTACCCAAAGGACAGTAATTGAAAATATGGGGGTGCATAGATGTTCATTATTTAAATGGAAAAAAAAAAATCTAGTTATTCTGGTTTCTGCTTAAAACCTTATTCTTACGTAATGATGATGCCACAATCACATTGCATTTCAACAACGGTATAAACATCCAAACTAGACTTGTTAACATAGAACATGCAAGATTGTGGTGGAGATAAGAAGAGCTTGACAAGATAAAATAAGTAGATAAGGAAACAAATAATTACCTGCGACCACCACAAAAGGAACCTAATGATGAGCCAATCTGAGTTCTCAATCCACCTTCGAAGCATGGGGAAAATAAAGAGGACAGATGCCAGTAAATTTGGAAGCAAGTATAGTGCAACAGCCATGATATATAGAGGTGGAATGCCCTTTACTTGCCGAAGAAATGACAACACATCTTTGATTTTACCAGGGGCAAAGGAGAAGGAATGTACATAGCACATAACAAGAATGACAACCCACACAAGACTAACAATTATCTTGAGAATTTTTCTCAGTACATCATTGAACTTCCATCTATGGAATCCTGGAAAATTTAGAACAAGGTCCAAAAGGCCTGGGAAAGAACAAGAGGCAAAACAAATAAGACAAAGGGAACCTTTTGACATACTAATTCTAATTTTCACTGACTGAAGAAAAGAAGAAGGATCTAAACATATAAAGTTCATATCTGACATAATCTCAAGAGAGTCTTAACAAGATTAACATGTCATTATTCTCCAGTATTGTACAAATGCAAGCACCAAGCCAGCTAAAAACACGAGGAGGGTATGGTAGTAAAGTTAAGTTGGAAAATAAAGCATGTAAAGCTAAAAATTCGTATTACATGCTTGAACATGTGCAACCCAAACATATCTAACCTGCCTTCACAAGTCTGAAAATTACTATTCTGTTATCCCACAAGGTTGGATATGCAGAAATCCAAATCATTCCGATAAGGCTTTAGACTAGATTTTCAAACATTATTTAAAAAATTAAAATCTTTATCAAACTATTAGTCTAAATAAAATTAAGAAACAAAGAAACTAAAAGTCTAACCCATAAAGTTAAACAAAGCAATATCTGAACTACCATTTGACATTGCATTGATCAGTGATCAACATAGTAATTAACAAATATCATGAATGGTTGCTCCTGAAGTTGCCACATAGCAATTAACAGATCTTATTACTACAATCAAACATGTTTAATTTTTATTTTACATATGAAGATTTTAAAAATATATTAGTGCTCAGTAACCTTTTCCATTCCCTGCTAATTCTATGCTTACACAAAACTGGTGGTGTCTAGGGATGTTTTATTTATGTCAATATTGTTGTTTATGTCAATATTGTTCAGCAGAGTTTCAGAGAACCTCTAAAATTCTAGCACTATAACAAAAAGTCAAACTTCCCAGACATTAATGATCAAACTATTCCAACCTCACATGATTGGAAAAAAAAATTAGTGACTAACAGCCTCTAGCACGTAATAGCTTGTATCTCATGTTGAGTAGCTAATGGAAAATCATCTCAAACCATTATAAAAGTCCTTTAAGAACTGAGCATTGGAGAAATTAATTAATTTCCGTACATTGAATGAAGCGCAGAAGGGCTGCAGTAATGAAAATACTGGACATGTAATACAAAATGTCCTTTCGAAAGATCTCTTTTATTGAAACTCCAGTCCATGCAATGATGATTAGCACCTGCAAGCACATCACTTGTTCAAGTTCAATCAATCCAGACAGGAGCCCAGGAGAATGAGTGAGCTTAATATCAATTCTGTACATCTATTCTAGCATTCAATACCTGAAGAGCAAGAATATAAAAAGTCCAAAATCGATCAAAACTACGAAAAATGTGCCAAAATGTTCGAATCTCAATGAAATTTGATTTGCCTGTGCTTTCAGGTTTCTTTGAAGAAGGCTTCTTTCCCTGCATCAAAGTTCTGCTAAATACAGAAGCAAGATTCACCAAGCTATACAAATAAATGTTGAAACTGCTTAGTGTACCACATCACATGTTGATTTAAAAAAGTCTCCATCATCACGCATAGGCCATCCAAGAGAGAAGCAATCTGGAGACCTAAGTAGCATATGGTAAAACCAAATTTTAACTCGATTTAAAAGATCCAAGAGTCAAATTAGATCCCAATGTTCAATTTAACTTGATGTTAAAACCATTCTAACCAGAAATACTCATTCAGATCATCATAATTGCACCAAGCTGAGTGAGAAGCTTTTCCATTTTGGCACTTCTGGGCTTCCTGGAATATATTGAGCATGATTATTGTATCTAGAAGAGCTAGACCTTAAGTTTAACGATGGTCATCATATTTGTGCTACAGGCTACAGCATACCTTCTCAATTACACGGTAAAGGGGTGTTATAACCTTCCGCAAGAATGCTTCATCATCACCACCATAAGAAGGTTTGATATTTTCTCCAGTAACAATACTAACATTTCCAGCCAACAAGCCATGGAGTTCATACGCCATCTGAGCATGTACTAGCATGTCAATGAAAATAATAGACTATATATACAATACCTAAAACAACCAAAAAGGAATGGCACTTGAAGGCAAATAAGGTAATGATTTGGCTATTTGAGGACTACTCACATTATGAAAGATATAACATAGACATTCGGGCATTAATCGAACGTTGGCTGCTTCACCCCAGATAAGGAGATATAATCCCATGTAAAGTATCTTTCTCTGCTGTATTTCTTGCACACCCTGAGGGAGTCTATATAGAAACATATTTGTGCAATTTTAAATATGTCAACCATTCATGAGAAGCTTGAGGTTGAAGTGTAGAAAATAAATTGATGAAAATGATCCCCCACAAAATAATAGACAGAAAATCTTGTATCTTACCTTAAGCTATGTTTTCGTCCTAAGAATTTGCACCATTTCTTGTAATTCTTAAAAAGCTTACTCATAACAACATCAACTGCTCGTTCATCAAGCTACAAAAAGGGAAATGATTTAATCAGAGCACAAGCAATCAAGAAGAGGAAGATGAAAATAGGAAAAGCAGTAAGACAAAACATGAACTAGTTATCAGCTCCATGGCAACACTAGACATAGTGCTGCAGACAAGGAAGGAATCAATCTATACATTAGGATTATATTATAATTATATGATTATATTGGAATTAATTTGTAACATTTATCTAGTAACTTATATTAATTAGGATTTGTTATTATGTTTTAATAACGATTCCAATTAGGAGTCTAATTAGGAATTAAGTCTAATTAGGGTTTTAGGTTTTCTATTTCAGAGTAGCTTGTATTAGGGTTATTCAGTTTATGAGTTGAGTTGAAAAAATTTTTACAAAAATCCCCAATTCAGCCATTCTCTTTCCACCCTTGCCTCTGTTTCTAAATTCTCTCCTCACCATTGCTTCTATCAGAGTGATCATTTACTGTAGATACACAGCAAAACCTTCCTTCACAATGCAACAATACAAGATGTAAAATCCCAATGCATACCTTATTAAGAGGTTCAGGCTTGGGATGGAGTCTTATATGATTATTAGCAAGCAGCAAAATCAAATGCTCCCTCTGGTTCCTGACATTGTCTCTCTGCAGTGAACAAGGTAAGTCAAAATGCAAGTATTACGTCAGGAAGGCACTCTTACACACACACCACACAGACACATGCACAGACACACATGTTGAACTCATGCCTGGAAGCCAAACATAGCTCTCAACCAATCAAGAAGATCCAAGTCCCCACTTTTCTGCCTCTGTTGTTCAAATGCTGCAGGCCAATTCAAGCCACGAGTGTTCCACATTGCAGCCACAGCAGCCTTAACCTATATTAGTAGTGAAGAGTAGCTAAAGCAACATAGAAAACCATGCAAAGAAAAAGAAAGAATTTTCTGGCAATAGAAACATGTATGATGCTGATATTACCTCCTCAAGCTGCATGATAGACTGTGAAGCCCCAGCAATATCCAGAGGAAGAATGTTATACGGGGTGTAGATTTCCTTCTTTTCCTGAACATCTCTAGCTGCTGCAATAATCTGCTCATAGAATAATTGCAAATAATTTCTTATGACACCAAAATGAAATATTGTTATAAACTTTCAGCAATCCAGCAAAATAGCCAATTTCCAATAAACTTTACTGGAAGATACTAGAAACTGGACTAACCTCTGGAGCAACTTCTTCAACTTTTTCAGTTTTATTGACAGCACATAGCACTTCAAAAAGCACTCCGGCTGTCTGGTATGCTTTGCCAAGTTGAGCTCTGATAGCATATAAGAGTACATAATTAAGTCATCATATAATGAGAAATCAGAAACCTTTTTCATAACATATCAGTGACATATGTTAGGAACCTGTCTGCCTGCTCCCCCTGGTCTAATGCTCTGACATAGTTTTCATAGTATTGCTGATAATAGCTCTCAATTTCCCGTGCATCAGTCTTTTTGACACGAGAGGCAAGACTGGATGCATTATCCTGAGCCCAAAAAGATTTTACAGTCAACTCTCTAAAGCCTTCAAGACAAGAAGCCAGAACATTTATACAGCAAACTTATCCCTGCAACTATAGGTAGGACGTCTCCTATTTACCCAAAAAAAAAAAAAAACTATAGGTAGGATGACCTTCTAGATGCTAGCAGGTTGAAGAGGGG